AGAAATGAAAAGAATGAACAGTGACTGGTTATGATTGGATAGGAAGGCCAAGAAAAGAGTAGTTTGAAGAATTTTGGTCGGCGACCTATGCTCCATTAAAGGTAACTGGTGTAAGTAAGTGAATTAGGTAATCATTTAAGTTTCGCAATATAAATGAAACTTTAAAACTAGTGAACCAAAAAATGACTTGTCAGTACGTACAACTTTAATCAGGTAACAACCTAAATGATTAGGTACTGTTAATGAGTTTCGAACTGGAATGATACTGTTACTAGTTCTTTTCCTTGGCTATTTAGTTCAGAATGAAAATAACTTACCAATTAAACAAAAAAATTGAATGAATAGAACATTGGATTTTTAAACATAATAATAAAATAGGTCAAATGACAAAAATAAACTTGAAAACCTCATTGAACATTTATGCTGACTTGTTAGTTTTAATTTTCAGTTTTCAATCATTAAATGAGGCGGAAATTTTCGGCACAAAATAAAACAATGTATACATCAAAAAAACAAAAGAAAATAGTGTTAGATAAAAAGATTACTAAGTAAATCAACATTGAATGAAATGTGTTCATTTGAATAAACATAAAAAAAATTAAAGAGGAAGTTAGTTTGACAGATACACAATAAACATTTACCTACCCTTACACTTGATAAGAACAACTTATTGTCATCTTTTTTTTCCGTTTCTTGTTATTATTATTATTATTATTTTTATTTATTGTACATTGAATGAAAAGTGAGGAGAAAAAAGAAATGATTTTCACACTTTCACACCTTATGTCACACGGATCAGTCAAAAGGAACCAAGATATACATATATATACTTCATTAATAAGTTTATCTGTTTGTGTGTGTGTGTGCAGTTGTATGTGCGCTTTTGGTAAACACAATCTTCTCTACCCTCAGATTAGTGATTCTGTCTTTCATTTCATTTTGAGCTGTTAACACTTACATTTATACTTGTATTCATAAAACTTCTTGTATCAACAATGTAAAACATCATGTAGGTGGTAGACATCATAAATTGAATTATTGAATATCAGTATCACTGTCAGTATTCCGACAAAATGTTGTTGTTGTAACAAGGTCAATCTCATGTCTTATCTTTTATTTTATTAAACTATTGATCAATGATCACTTTTTTTTGGATCAATCAACACTGACAGAGATAACGGTAAAAATTTTTTACAAGGTATTTCCCTAAACAATATGACATAAATGAGGAAGTGTATATAATCGTATTTGATTCTTTCACTTATTATGGTTGTGTAAATAAACAACTGTCAATTGTAAGACAATTGTCCGAAAGAATATATATATATATATATATATATATATATATATATATATATATATATATATATACAACTAATGCACTTCACAGTTCAGCGTTAAAACAGCAGAATGGTTTTTTTTTGTTGAAATTAAAATCCCCACAGTAAATCACTCGGTTCAGAAACCAGTTACGATATTGATTACACATTTTTCGATTATTTTACAGTTCTGCATTGTACTGTTCATTGTGTAAGTAAAACCAAACGGGATTTAATCACAGATTGTCTTGAGTAAATTATTAGTTAGTATATGGAATGAACATGAATTTCTTTTTTAAATTTTGATTTAAGAGATTAATTCACGTTGACAATTCCTAGATAATAACTAATTGATGTATTTACATATATTATAATACATATTTGACAGCATGATCTTCACTATGGAGTATTTATCATTCATAGTAAAATCAAAGATTACTTTGAGTGATTTGCTTAGATCTATCCATGTTACTTAGATTTAAAACTCTCAGAAATTTTATTTTAACCGATTAATGATATCGATTAATGTAAAATGTATTGTCTCACTAAGTATTTGGAAATTCAAAAGACGCTCCAGTAGTAATTCATACATTTAAATACTTATCTTTTTTTGTTGTTGATAGAATAAGACATAATTGCATTGAAATTAATTAGCATACACAACAACAAGGTTTTGTTATTGATTAATACTTCTATTTATTTACAGTTATGGAAATTTACTTAGGAATAATACAATTTAATTAGTCAGTGTATATGTTTGTGTTATATTGTTGTGGAGAATGTTGAGTTACTTTGATATCATGGATCGAACAGTGTTAGACGGGAGGCGTGGATGCGCACCGCTGATGAGTCCTATACCAGGACGAAACGACCGTCCAGTGCCTCCAAGTTTCTAATTATTGCCTAACACTAATCAATGCACGATTTCAAATGTATTTATACATGTTTGTAAACATGATTGGAAAAATTTCCTATCCAGTGATATACTAAATAAACAAACTTAAAGTAAACTATTTGAGTTAAAAAGTCGGTTGAGATTAGCTTCAATTCAAGATGTTATTAATTCATCATAAACTTTACAACCAACTTTGTATGCTTACTCATCAATATCTATGAGATAAGTTATTGAAATTCTTAGGAGAAACTAGGCATAAATAATGTAGTTCAATTATAATCGGAGTGAAACGGTTATTATTGATGAAATGAAACAATTATTACTTTGTGTATCATAAATCGACTGAAATTCAAAATATAATTCATGAGTATTTTTCTTCTCTATTGTGCAAGATCCCAGTCTGAAACTCTGGTGACCTTGTGAATGAATGCTACTGAGAGGTCTCATTCAAATTATATATATATATATATATATATATATATATATTTAGTAAGCAATGTTTCCACAAATGATGTCAGTTTGTGACAAGCACTATCTTCAGGAAAAAACATTGCCTTACAATTGAATTCCTTGCTTGTGAATGAGTATCAAAGCAACAGAATATAATTTTTTTTGTTCTGTTTATTTTGTCAAGACTTTTTCCAACAGTTGCATTAGATTTAGTGAAATGAATCAAATCTCTAAAAAAGAATTTCGTGCCATTTTTCGTTTTAGTATATGAATGCTCCAACAGGGATTCATGTATATTTAGAAATATTTGGTAAAAGTGTATTTATTGATTTGACATTGAATTGTTCAGTCTGTGAATATAATTTATTATATGGTTAGTAGTTGAACAAATGAGCTAAAGTATCGCAAAGTAGTCAATATCGAAAATGAATTAACAAAAAAATTCTCAGTGAAACTCAACAAACATACATTATAATTTCATCAACAGCATAAGAATAGTTTAACAAAATCACTGTATTCAATAAATTAACTTGCTGTTATGTTAGAATCGTGAATCAATTATTGCTAGACCACCATTAGAAACATTGAAGCACTGGTTGGTCGTTTCGTCCTAGTATGAGACTCTTCATCAGTACGTATCCACTACTCCTACTCACGGGAGTCGAATATAGGACCTCCGGTATCGCACATGAACGCTTAACCTCTGCACCACTTAGTCGGTCGGCTTAAAAATGAGTGCGTTTGTTGGTTAAATTGACAACTTCTAGAATATTCTAAAATATTTTCCCTTAATTACTTAGATATCAATCACGAAAACTCGAAAATTACCGTTAAGTCTTGAAGATAATTCTTCAACAAATTGGCTTAATAAAACAATTTTAACGAGATTGATAATAAAACTATCAAATTAACTAGAAAAAGAAAGGAAACACTGATTGCAGAAATGAAGATTGATATAACTTCAAAGTACACATATTATGTTTTTAATTTGTGACTATTGCAGTTCAACCCTGTTCAGGTATGATGCAGAGCTCATTAAAGACAGTGGATGATGTTGAGCAAGACCGTGGGTTGATTAAAGTTAGACATTAACATCGTTGGATGCCGGCCGTCTTAGTGGTCTAGTGGTTAAAGATTGGCATGCAAGACCTGGATTTGATTCACGCGAGAATCGGGGTCCTAGATGCGTACTGCTGATGAGTCCCATATCAGGGTGAAACGGCCAACCAGTACCTCCAGGTTTCTTAAGGTGGTCTTACACTGATCGATTCATGGTTTCGGAAATGTGTACCTTAACAACCTTCACAACCCCGTAATGCAAATTAACTGTGCTCACCAGTGATTAGCTTCGTGAGGAATCTTCTCCGAGTTCTAGTGCGAAGTCGTGACCAGTGAAGTTCAACCTGTTCGGGTGTACACAGTAACTACCGAAGACAAAGAGTGTATGGGGTTGCGCAATTCCGTGAATTGATCAAGTTAGACATTAACACCGTTAGATACTGGCTCAGTGGTCCGATGGTCAGGCGTTCGCCTACAATACCGAAGGTCATGGGTTCGAATCCTTCGGGGTGCAGGAATCGTGGATGCGCACTGCCGAGGAGTCCCATACCAGGACGAAACGGCCGTCCAGTGCTTTCAGGTTTCTAATGGTGATCTAACACTGATAGATTCATGGTTTCAAAAAATGTGTAACTTAAGAATCTTCACAATGCCGTAATGCAAATAACTTTTTAAATAAAAGTTAACAATATATTATATGGTATCAAAGTAACCAGTCAAAGTAAACTGTCACTTAATTGTTATAGTTTTGAAGGAAATCACAATTGAAATAATCATTAACAATATCAAAATTTCAGAAATAAATTACAAAATTAGAACTTTTTCCTAGTGAGTTCTGGGGATCTAACGTCCCTAACATGTTCATATTAAGCTCATAAGTGAGAAAATCACATTCCATTGAACCATAGTATTAATATCAATCGTTTTTTCACTATTGACTACTGTCGGCATTGAAATCAAGTTTAATCAGAAAACTGTACTATCAACGACAAATTAAGCAACACAGTCAAGTAACATACCAGCGAACCAGTCATTGGCTGCAGTTTATTTATTTATTAGTTATGTTTTTTTTTTAAAAACTCGATAACTAAAACAAATCTTTTCAATATTCAATTATTTTGTGAATCATTTTGAAAATTATTTATTTGTCTATTCATAACTAATTCACCGTGTGTATTATCTACTTGATTTATTCAGTTATAGAATTATTATTTGGAAAATAATATCATGAACATTATTATGAAATAGAAGCTCATCACTTAATTGGAAGATCTACAATGTCATTGAACAATGAATCTAATAATAATTTATTATCTTCATTATCGAATGCAACTAAAAAATTAACTGGAATAAATAGTTCATTGTTCAATAATTACGAAGAATTCATAAAATCACGCGACTTTTATCCATCTATTACTTGGACTAATAATGCCAACAACCATGAAATGGGCTATTCACAGTCAGATTTATATACAAATGAATTAACTGAAGAATCGAATCCAGTTGCAAAAACAAATCCATTCCATTCGATGAAAGCTATAAATTGTGACAAAGAATTATTACCAAATAACAACACTATTGGGAATGCATTAGACTATTCTATAAATTCTTTAATAAGCGATCAAAAGAATTCAGCATTATCAATGATTAAATCATCTTCTGTAACTCATTCGAATTATGCTCAGAACTCATGCGAGTATTTAAACAAAAATAACTTAATCAACAATTTCCTATCGACTTGTTCAATTGAACAAACTTTAAATTCAATGAATATACTTAAAAATCCTAAAATCAATGGAGGATGTGTATTGAAACGTAAATATTCTAAAAATCATTCTAATCTATCTGAAAAACATTCAAAATATATGAAAGTTGATCATGATCACAGTCACCCGCTTGATCCATTAAACACCAATGCAGATTTTGAAAAGTACAACCACGATGTCATGGATACTGTAAAATCAAACAAAACTGTTCGATCAAATGATCAACAGATTTTATTGAATCATAACTCTAATGAAGTTAATGTTAGTAATAATGATGATGGCAATAACAATGATACAAAGGTGACATCAATTTCCACTGGAGCTTATAAATATTTAACTTGGCGTGAAAAAGATCGTAGACGAAGATTTCGTGAAGAATGGAAACATTTATGGCTTGTTATACCGTATGGACGTTATGAGGTCAGTTATCAGAAACATGTTTTGAAAAAAAATTCTTTTTCATTATTATTAATTGTCAGTAGTTGTAAATTTATAATATAAATGTAAGATATATTATTTTGAAAGAACATCTGAGAGAAAGCACGATATACACTGGACAGCTCAAATGCAGCTGGGTGATCTGAATTTGTCAGATGATGTAGCCCTTATATCCTACTCACAAAACAAATACGGGAGAAGACGACCAGTATAGTAACAACCTTAGAAATCTCAACATACACAAGAGAAAAGGCAAGGTCCACCGATACAACAAAACATGCAACAACCAAGTACCACTTGATGAAGAAGTTTTGGAGGACTGAGGGACCTTCGCATATCTGGGCAGCATTGTTGATAAACATGGTGGATCTCAGATTGGCATAGTAAAGACAGCATTTCTTAATTTGAAGAAGATGTAGAACTCAAAGCAACGGTCAGCCAACACTAAAGTCAAAATTGCCAATACAAATGTCAAGACAGTTCTACTCTATGAGGCAGAAACTTGGAGAACCACGAAAGTCATCATCCACAAGATACAGGTGTTTACTGACAGATGCCTTGTCAAGATACTACAGATCCATTGACCGGACACTATTGTCAGCAATCTATTGTGGGAGAGAACAAACCAGATTCCAGCAGAGAAAGAAATCAGGAAGAAGCGCTGTAAGTAGATAGGACAAACATTGAGGAAAGCGCCTAACAGCGTCACGAGACAAGACTTAAATTTGAATTCTCAAAGGACACATTACGCTGAGAAATGGAAGCAGACATGAAAAAAATGAACGGCAATCGGTTATGTGTGGAAAGGGAAGCACAGGACACAGTAGGTTGAAGAATGTTGGTTGGCGACCCATGTTTCAGAAGGGGTAGCATGAGTAGGAAAGTGAGTATTATTATGAAACATGGAGTTAATTTTCATCACAAACTGATATCAACTGATCGATCGCTAAAAGTTACGTTGCACACGTTCTTTTTAGTAACCATAAGTTCTCACAGTAAAACTTGCTTATTTTCTCAGATCAAATTAAATTATTGACCTTCAACTATCACACTGAATGTTACGCAAATTAGTCACAGAGTAATAGACTGTACTATAAATAACAGTTAGTTTGTAGTAATTGTTCTTGGTTGCTTAAAATATATAATGAAAACAATGTGTCTAAAGATTCAAAACTTTCCGATTTTCAATAGAAGAGTTTTATTTAGAAAAAAAACTCTTTAAATTAATGAAATTATAATGTTTACCTAAATGACTCAATGACACGCCATTATAGATTGATGACATGTTCATCAAGTGATTGTGTTGAATGAATTAAAGTAGTCTATCGAAATTCTGCCACACCACTCACAGTGTGTGTAAATAAAGTTTATTGTTACAGTTATATCAATACCCCTTTATATTTCTCCTATAACAAGTTTGTTCTAGATAAAAGATAAAAACACTGAGTTTTTATTACATGTAAAGTGGTGTGTGTAAATGAAATGAGTAACTTTTTTTAACATACGATGGAATAATTGTCCTAATGTGAAAGGGATTATGATTGACCCAGTCAATATAGTCAATTAATCTATCAAATCATTCTTGTTTAATTTACAAATTTCCACTAACTCAAAAGATATGGGAATTTTTTTTCAACAATTGAGCATACTAACAGTACTTGCATAGAATGAGATAAATAATTAAAAAGTACTTTAGAAATTAAGCACACATAATAGGTAGGTATAAGTGAGATGCGACTAATAAAATTAATCACTGTATTAACCGAAATGATGAAATCTTTCGAAAACAACGTGGAACATATATTTTACTATCTCATTATTTAGTTTCTTTTAAGTTAAGAAACTTACTTTAATTACTTTCGCCTGTTACCCACAATGGAGCATAGGCCGCCAACCAGTTTTCGCCAACCAACTCTGTCCTGGGCTTCCCTCTTCAGTTCTGTCCGATGTTTGTTCATTCTTCTTATATCTTTCTCTATTTCTCGGCGCAATGTGTTCCTTGGAATTCCTCTTTTCCTTCGACCTTGAGGGTTCCATGTGAGGGCTTGTCTCGTGACGCAGTTAGGTGCTTTTGGTAGTATGTGTCCTATCCATTTCCACCGCTTCTTCCTGAATTCCTCCTCCACTGGAATCTTGTTTGTTCTCTCCCACAGTTCGTTGTTGCTGATGGTGTCTGGCCAACGAATACGAAGTATTTTGCGTAGGCAGCTGTTAATAAACACTTGTATCTTCTGGATGATGCCTTTTGTATTTCACCAAGTTTCCACTCCATACAGTAGAACTGTCTTGACATTTGTATTGAAAATCCTGATTTTGGTTTTGGTTGAAAGTTGTTTGGAGTTACAGATATTATTCAACTCTAGAAATGCAGCCCTTGCTTTGCTATATCTTCCACATATTTTCGTTTGTCAGCTCTTATGCTCTTCTTCACTTTCCTGTTTGCTTCTGTGTATGCAGCTTGTGCGGTAACTTTCTCCGCTCTTGTTTGGCTGACATTGATTGCTGCTTTCTTGTTTTCCTTTCTTCAATTTTTGCAAGAGTATCAACAGAGATCCATTCCTTGTGATGGTACTTCTTGTGACCCAGAACCTCCTGACATGTTGAAGTGATTGCCACTTTGATTCCTTTCCAACTGTTCTCCAATGTTTCTTCCTTTCGATTGGTTAGATCGTGCAAGGCCAGGAACCTATTGGTGAGGGCTATCTTGAATTCGTTGAGTTTTACGATATCCCGAAGAAAGGCTTTATTAAACTTGTGTGATGTTTTTTGTCCCGTTGTCCAGTGCTTCTTTAGTTTCAGTTTCACTTTAGCTACCAGCAAGTGGTGATCTGAGGCTATATCAGCTCCTCTCCTGGTTCTCACATCCTCCATAGTCCTTCTGAACGTTTTGTTGATACAGATATGATCAATCTGGTTTTGAGTAGTGTGGTCCGGTGAAATCCATGTAGCTTTGTGTATGCGTTTGTGCGGGAATATTATGCCACCGATGACCAGTTTGTTGAAGGCACACAGGTTTGCAAATCTCTCACCGTTTTCGTTCCTTTCTTCCAATCCATGTCGTCCCATGATGTCTTCATATCCAGTGTTGTCCATGCTAACCTTGGCATTTAGGTCTCCAATTAGAATCGTCAAATCCTTTGGTAAACATTTCTCGATGATTGACTGCAGCCTTTCATAGAATTGATCTTTAACGTCGTCATTGTAGTCATTGGTAGGTGCATAACATTGGATGACATTCATTGTAATGTCCTCTTTCTTTCTTTTGAAAGATGCTTTAGTGATCATCGGTCCATGAGATTCCCATCCTATTAGTGCCTTTTGTGCATGTTTGGACAGCATCAGTGCAACTCCTTGTGTATGTGAAGCGTTTTCCGCTTCATGACCAGAGTATAACAGAAGTTCCCCTGAAGCTAGTCTCAGTTGTCCTACATGTGTCCAATGTGTTTCACTGATTCCAAGCACCTCCAGGTTGTATCTTTTCATTTCTGCCTCAACTTGAAATAGTCTTCCAGTCTCCCACAATGTACGAAAGTTCCATGTACCTAAAAAAATGGTTGCTCTGGTTGTAAGAAGAGGCATCGGCCCCGTGACATCCGAGGGAACTAGGCTTTCATCACGCGACATCATAATTCTTCTTCCAATTCCCAGGGCAGAGTTAAAATGGTTTGGATTAATTTTTCTGGTTAGCGTTTTTTTAGCAAGTTAGATTTCGACGGAATGGGGTCGCCAACCCCATGTCCAACCCTCCTCCTTTACCCGGGCTTGGGACCGGCAGTAGCCCCGAAGGTTCTACAGGCGGAGTTAAGTTAAGAAACAAGATTACTCATTTTACAAACATTCAACGCTAATGTAACTGAAAGTCTATCGACATTTTAGAAAATGTTGTAGGCGCCATTTTCCAAGTAATATGAGTGATTCGATTTTGAGAATTTACATAGATTAGTTAGGTAATTGTTCCAATTTCAAAAATCCTCAAAGTGTTCAATAAATTTCGATACAATATTCATGAGTAAAACTGTTCAAGTGTTAATCTCACCTCATCTTATGTAAATGTTAAAATAAGTAAATGTTTCGAGAAATTGACAATTGAATTGCTTAAATTCATCTACTACTGCCTGTCTGTTTAATCAATACGAGATTTTAATTCATGAAGTCTAAAGTATGATATAATAGTATTTCGTTTAGTTTTGTCATCGTAAACCGATCGAATTTAGATTGATCGAGTTCATTCTAATAAGAAAGACAGACAGACAGATACAACACAGAACTTCGTACGTAAGTACATCAGTTTAGGTTGCCATACCACGTCAGCACAGAAACGCAAAAAGTGATAGTGATAGTAGAAGTATTAGCAGTAATGGAGAAGATTAGGGAGTGAAGACATGATTCAAGAAGTATAATTCAGTGAGGTGACTTTAGTAAGAGAAAAATAGAGATGATCAGGAATTTAGAAGGTTAAAATTAGAGAGAACACAAAGAGTGGATGCATCTGTGCCATTGCAAACGATTCTGAGCCATGTCGTTCAAGGTCTCTAACCATCGATTATTATCATCTCGCGGACCCCAACCAGGAAGCCTACATCTACCAACACTACTCAGTAACACATGTCCCAACCACCTCAGCTGATGAAGTTTCACCAGTTGATCTACTGATTTGTCATCCCTACCTGGAACTCGTTTCCTAATGACAGCATTGCTCATATATATATATATATATATATATATATATATATATATATATATTCTATGAGATTAGTGCAAAAAACAGATCAAATTTCGGGGAATTATAGGACGTCTGAAATTTAAAATAATTTATGAAATATTTAAGTAAGTATTCTAATTGAATTATGCTGTTGTCAATATGAAGTTGAAAAACCTAGATGTACATTTTTTTCCTCAAACATTTCATGTTTGTAGTTAATTTTATTAATCTGAAGTAGGAAAATTCTAATCTGTAAAGTTACATCGATGAATGATTTTTTAGAAAAATGATCTTTATTTAACTTTCATTTTCTTCATAAAAAAAACAACTAAATACGTGTTACACTCGTCACTAGGTATGCTTGAAACTATTACGGGTTCGACTTAATTGATAAACGAGAACGCAACAATGAATCAGCGTCCGAGTAGGCTACTCTGATCCGTTGACCCAAAGGAACTAACGAAAAGTCTTGATATAGAGCAGAAAGTGTATTCTACAAACACCCAGCTAGCACACGAATCGGGTTTGTCTATACACCATAGAGACGTCCTTGGGAGAGTCACAAAAATAGCACACTAAAATAACACAGTAACCAATCACATCCAAGGGTTTTCGTGGTGGGAAATGTGATTTCAAGGTCAACTGATCGGTCCATGAATTAAAATCCAAAATAAAGACATTTATCAAGCGAGTTTTGGGGATCTAACATCACCAACAAAATGTTCTATGACAATATGTTAAAAATTGTTAGCTTGTATTAAACTCTACTACAACTACAATGTATTTCACTAACAAGATAGAAACTAGAGGTTGCATTTATAAATGCTTTTATCGATTCAACAATCAGATAGTGGTAAATTTTAAAATTTATACGAATGTCAGAAAGACAAAAATGACAGAGTGAATGATTACTCATAATCATGTAGTCGTATTGTATACTAGTGTCCCCGAAAATATCTATACTCATCATTAGTTGTCAATATTAGCTATCTTATATACATACAGATCAAACCTGCATTATGTGCATTCATTTGAATTGTACATTTTGATTAAACTGTCATTTATTACTGAGTATCAATTACAATTGAATTGTTTTCTTTGTTTTTCTCCTTTTTTAAACAAAATTATTCATTGTCTATGATTGACAATACTATTATTATTACTATGATTAACACTATACACTCGTATGAGTATTATTTTTTTAAAAAAAAACGATAATCTACAATACAATTAAAATAATAAACTATAAAATATAAAAATAAAAGGTACAATTCAGCAAGAAATTGATCCTACCCAATTCATTTGAATGTATTTTACACTGTTTTATTTAAAAACAAGGGTAACATTATACTAGTGTATAGTAGTACAATTTTTGAATGATGGACATGTTGATAAATATGAAATGTATGTCAAATTGTTTGAAATGATGAATACACATTGTACACACTAGTATACAATAATTTATCCGCGTGATACAAACATACATAATTTTATAGTAGTTGATGTTGATTGACTGAATCTATTTCTAATTGAACCAGACTATGGAATTTACAGGGAGAAGCAATCATGAACTGATATTCAAATTGTCTCCATTAGAATTATGGGAACTGTCACTAGTGACTTATACAAGTCAGTAGTGATAGTAGTGAGATGGTCTAATTCGCCTGCATGAGTAATGAATATGTATTTTTTTCACAGACAAATTTACAACATAAATTTAGCTACAAAAATTTTTATTTGAAATAATTTAAACAATTAAAATTTGAATACATTTGACAATTTTACAAGTTCAGTTTATTAAAATGTGATTTTACACTTGTGGTTTAAACAGAAAGTTGAATGTTGGTTTAGTCATAGCCAATAGCTGACTACATTTGGCCACTAGATTTAGTAACAGTACAACACATATACAATTTTTTTCATTATCTCAAATGACTCATATCCTAACTATAAATAGAGTAAATATTTAAAAGCGATTAGACAAATGTTTAGGATAGAAATAATTTTGGAAATGGTTATCGTAGTTAATTTTGACTATTTCCCCAGAAGAACCACGGATCAGATTACCGGCTAAAAAGGGTGAAATTATTTAAGCTTCAATAGTTGAGATTATATTCTAGACATAATTTGACATCTAGTGTCATCTACGTATTTAGCACCAAATCTCGTTTAAATTTGAAGGGACGTTCCTAAAGCAAAGATAAAGAGTGGCTAGCAGTGGAATCCAGTAAGTGTGTTTTAGTCTATTTAAGAAGTGTCATCTGGATTTACCTACAGTGCAGAGTTGATTTTCACTCCTGGACTCGAACTCGGCGCCAAACATATGTCAAATGAAACTGATCAATTGAAATGTTAACTATCATTGGACAGATTCAAACTCATAATACAAATGTATGCAATATTTATATTTTTTTCATAAATTTTTTTTTCAAGGTTATGTGTCTTGTATGTCACAAAGTTATGACCCAAAGGAAATTAGATACAATTAAACGTCATAATGTACGACGACACATAGAATTACAAGGAATGTCACATTCAGAGAGACAGATACTATTTGATAAGTTATTAAAACAACAGAATATACAAAATGAAACATCATCTACAAGTACATCAACTATTTTATCCAGTAAACCGACTAGAAAATCAAAAAATCAATGCAAGTCTACCTCTGATAACCATTTGAATAATTCTTTCAGCAGTAAAGATTCAAATGAAATGATATCCAGTGTCCCACAGAATACAAATAAGTGGACAACTAAACAAATTTCCGAAAACAACGAAGTAACGAATTCCGGCATTATAAATCTTTCTTCATCAATAAATTCATCGCTTTCCAGTCGTATACCACATAAGAAAACGAAACGATTGTTTAGTAAGCTAACTGAAAATGTATCTACAACCAATGAATTGTTAGAAAATGCCACTAGCAAACGAAGCAAACGTTTATCAAAGCAGATACGAAAGCAATCACATTATCCTTCATCGAGTATTCCGGAAAATTTGAATGACAATTGTAATTTGTCAGTAAACAGAAATCCTATACAAAAATCATCAATTACAGGATGGGAGAATTCTTTCGGCTCTTTAGATCATTCCATTTTAGATAACAAATTAAAAATAACATCTAATCAACAGACATTTGTCTCTGATAATTCATTATCAACTTCAGTAATTCAACAATCACCACTAGTTTCAACAACATCAGACGCATCAAATTATAGCTCTCTCACATTCCCTTCTCATTATTCATCTGTTCTACCTTTGAATTATGATTTAGGAAAATTGAAACATTTCATTAAGTCATTAATTCCAATGTATGATAAGTCATTTTCACAATTATCACCGACAAAATTACAATCACCAGTGGCATGTCACACAGTGAATACTTCGAATAAATTGACAACGCCTAGTTTATGCACTGAACTGAAGTCTACTACTACTACTACTAGTTCAGACAACAACATGCTTAATATTGATTTAACAAATTCCATGCATAAAGCAAATCAAAATATACCATTTGACATTGAAAAACATACTGTTATCAATGAATATAACAAAATAAGATCAGATCAATCTTCAGCAATAATAGGTGATAAAGCATTCAGTGGCAAAAATTATTTATCAGATAATAGTAATAATAATAATGATCATATGAGTAAGAGAAAATCTCCACCAGACCAATTCAATCTTTCAAATATGGATGAACAATCAAAATGCTTAAGGTCATCATCATCACCATCATCCTCATTTGCAGCAAATAATTCAGTAAGTTTATTCACAGGTCACATGATACATTTTTCATTTACATGCATGTAGGTTAACTAAGATTAGGTACATTGTCATTTTCGATTTATCAAATAATTCAATAGAAATTATCAGAACTTATAAGAGATTAGTTTTTTTATATTATCTTCATTCTATTGTATAAATTAAGATGGCGGTTTCTTTTGATGCAGTCTAAGAACTTTTGACTTACATGTTATCTCATAATCCTTAAACTGAATAGGACTGCTTGTATTTTAAGTCAACATAATCGATTCCAGACAGTTTTTCAAAGAATGATAGGTGTGTAGAATTATACAGTCCAGAAAGTATCATTCGTGAGATTTATAATTATTATGAAAGGCCTACACAGTATAAATAAGGTTAGAAAGTAACTTTAGAAAGAGAGGTATCGTTTTTGGGACTGCAACTCTTTATTCCAGTACAAAGTTACTAAACAGAAATAAATTAACCTCCGATTATCTTCCGTAGAGCCCTTTCTTAGTGAAATTAATAGATGATAAGTTACGTTCTGTTTTGTAATAATCTGACTAATGTGCCCTGTGAGAAAACTTGGATTTAATATATGAAATAGTGACTAGAACAAAAGTCCATGTGTATATATACACCTTTAAGTAATCATGAATTATATCGCAGAATTCGTAATTAGAGGATACTATTTTTCAAAAAAGTATTTACAATTCGATTCGCCCAAAAATCATGCTTTTCCGTACTTATTTTTAAACTTTTACATATATATGCCTAATTAGATCTTCTTAGGTAACCGAAATGTCAGTTTGGAGATTGAATGTCAAACAGAATATCTGAAATCATGAATCAATCTTTGTAAAACCACCAATAGAAACCTGGAAGCGCTGGACGGCAGTTTCGTTCTGGTATGGGACTCATCAGATTCGTGAGGAAATTCTCGGAGTTCTAGTTGAGAAGACGTGACCAATGGAGTAGAACCCTGTCGGGTGTAAGCAGTAACTATCAAAGACAAATGGGTGAGGTCGCGCAAAATCCGTAGATCAATCAGAATTAGACATTAACACCGTTGGATGCCGGCCCAATGGTCCAATGGTTAGGCGTTCGCACACAATACCGAAGGTCCCGGGTTCGAATCCTGCGAGGTGCAGGAGTCGTGGATGCGCACTGCTGATGAGTCCTATACCAGGACTTGACGGCTGTCCAGTGCTTCGAGGTTTCTAATGGTGGTCTAACAATGACTGATTGATGATTTCAAATGTGTAAAAACACAAACCTCCAAAACTCTGCCTGAAAACAGAATATCACCGGTATGAAAATGTATTCATTACAGATCGGTCACTGAAAAATACTACATCACTTGGAAATCATGAATTCGGATATAAAATATATTTTTATATGTGAAAGAAGAGTAGTTTGCGTTATATGGCTGTAATGTTTTTGGTAGGATGACTGTTTACAATCGTATTTTAATTGCCTTTATTGTGTATGGCTTTATATGAACCTGCTATTGATCAGTGTATTGAATTAATGACTAATTCTGTCCATTTCTTTGACATATTTTATCAATAGAATCCAAATCTTACTGAATTATCTCCATTCATGCTGGCCTCTTTGATTGCACCGATTATAAATTCATCAAAAGCTTCAAATCCTAAATTATTTAATGAACACTTTTCAAATTTACCCGAATTTATCTGGAACAATCAATCAAACAGTCATTCAAATAAATTAATTGTAAATAAACAAACAGAAACACTCATCACGCCAAAATGTTCAACAGATCAACTTCAAAATCATTATCTACAACCGACTCAATCAACAGATTTTAAATTGCGAACAAAATCCAATTCAAATTTAAACAAGTTTACTATTTCATCTTTGCTGAATACAGAACTGTTTGATCAAAAAACCCAAAGTCGATCAGATAGTATGGAAAACAATCATAATCATCATCATCACACTAATTCTTTTTTCAAAGTTAATCATAAGCAAGAAGTTGCAAAATGTATGCCTAACTCGGAATGCCTTTCATGACACTTATTTTTTTTCCCGTTAATTTGATTATTAGTGAAATTGAGAATAATTAATTCACTATGATTGATTAAGGCTACATTGATGTGCTAATCAGTAACACTTTTTAGACAGATTGATACACTCGAGTAAAAATAACTAACTCATATTGAGAACTGTGATCAAAATAATGATAACTTCCAGTGAACACTCATAAACGATACAATCACAATTGGAATAAATAAATTTCATTTGGGATAAATAATAAACACTACTTATTTCCTTATTATTATGACAGTAATTCAAAGTACATACAAGTCTTAGTACTTCATTTGAGCCTTTTTAATTTTTATGTGCAGTGCTGAAATAAAATTTCTTGAAAATATTCATTTGAAAAGCATTTTCATGAAGATTGAATTGTTTGGAAATCGACAACTAATAAATAATTATTTCATATCAGTATGAGTGTCCTCATCAACACCCACTTATTACTTCATATAATGGATCAGTCCTAAGAACATCAAGTATCAAGGGAGCCATAATAACTTGAGAATATTATTTTAAAATCTGATTGGCTAACTTCTTAAAACCTGCGATATGTTGTGCCTTTATGATATGCCATTAATGTTGAACAAAATTCAAAATTCTCGAGATAAATTTTTATTTATTCGATGAAGCTGTCAACTAGAATAAAAATGATTTCGTGTTTCATGTGGAAAAATTAATATCACAATTCTTACAAGTAATATTTCAATTATTTGGCCATTATTCCTCTTTATTACGTCACAGACATCAATTATATTATTTCTAAAAGTTATTTATTGGAAAATTTACTTTACAAATTAATAGAAATTTAACTAATCCACAGAACAAAACGACACATCCTTCTAATGATACCAAAGAAAAGTTTAAGCGCTTGATCACACATACCTACAATCTTTCAAATATGATTACTACCTGCAAAAAAAAGCGTTTATCACTACACATACGAGAGTAAACATTCTGATCGAAGCAAAATGAAAATGTAGCCAATTCTTTTGTCAATCTACAACACTAACCTTTTAATATGATTACACGGAATAAGTATACGGGAATGATCACTTATGGATCCAAGTTGTGTAAACTTGCTAATAACAGGTGCTTTACAATAAAACAATCGCACAATACAAAAACAATCATTTGACATTGACAATGTATATGTTGCTATTCTTTTCAAGATTAAAAAGTATCGAGTAATTCGACGAAAAGTTTGTTTGTTATTCTTTAAAACACATCTTGATGCACATGTACATATTGAATTTGTTTTTAACCAAACATGCATTTTTCAATCAAAATCACTGAATGTATGATGATATATCTTTCGGAGATTTTTCGTATTCGTCATCTAATGTTGAAACCTTGTGTTTTTTTTTGACACCCAACTTTTTTTAACTTTGCTTAATTCATTACAAAGGAGAAAAGAATCACCCGAAATTATTATATAATTATATCTTCATAGAATTAACTATTTTCTTATGAAATTTACTCTTTGTTTTTTATATATATATTTAGATCTTGAAAGAATTTTTTGTTTTCGTCATGAACACTGAACTATTATATTCCATGATAATATGATTAAATTTTCACTGTTACGTATAAATGTATAAATCCTAAATAGAATTACTTAATGCAAAATGAAATTCAAGTTTCAATTGTATGTAATTCATGAGATATTTTTTTTTTGGGGGGGGGGTGGGGAATTATTATTTTAATAAAATGTTGATTATTAAATATAGTTTCCCCATAATCTAGACTCTGTTTGCTTTGTGTTGTACATTTGGAAAAAAGAAATTGTAGAAAGATTAACTTTATAAGGGGAAAATTTTTGATTTTTATGGCTTTTAAAAATCATAAAAAAAAACAATTTCATTAGTGATGAAACTCTCTCTACATATAAAAACCAGTCATTACAACTTAGGTACAATCACATAATTTGAAAATTGATGAATAGTGTTTTGGTAATTTTCTTCAATACGGATAGATTGATAATGAAAAAATCTGAGTTTTTATAGAAGTGTAGGCTTTTTTAAAGTAATACGATAAAGTAGAGATATGTTACCTAGAAATCAGTTAGTTTCTCAACGGTAAAAAATTTAATTCTACTCATTACGATGACATAATTCACTGGATAAAGTTTACAGTGTTATTGATGGACTGAGTAAATTATTATTGCTTCGCTTTTTTACCATTGGCTTAATAATTGAAAGTAAACTGTTGATTGTCAAGAATGTTAACATGTAGTGCCTCCACATAAACTTGAGTTCGCTCATATTTAATTTGATTAAGCCTTTCGATTAACTTATGTAACCAAGCTATTTGTATAGCAACAACTCATATGTACACCATTGGTATTTTTATTGTCTGGTTTGTCTGAGCTTGTACGACTGAACGTTGCTTACGCCCACGCGCTTACTCATCCTTAAATATCTCGATGGCTCAGACATTTTCCTATGTATATATACAAACACTTGAATCTTATTAAGTTATTCGCCCATTTGCACATTCGCTCGCTAGTGTGCCTGCTCGGTTGGCTTGTGGTCTGCTATCCTATTTTTGTGGTGTGCCGAAATAAACGTACTGAACACTTCGAGTTCACCTTCTGATTCACAAACCGTCAGACGCTATTTAGTAACGATTGTCTGGACGAGCTAAATACGAAGATAAAGAACACGTCGAAATCGGCCACCACAAACAGTAAGCTGTTCATTTTGTTCAAGAGTGATGTACATGATTAAACGCTGTAATGTAAGTATGGCTATCCTAAGAGGAAAGAAGCTACTCGACTTTTTAGTTACGTCTAGTGAGGAGTAGTAGCTTGTATAAAACGTGGATACATTATTGCCTTCCTTATACCCATATCTATCCTATACACACATACTTATGAGTAGTCGCATACTAAGACAAAAAGACAGTCAAGTTCTTTCAGGTTTCCATTGGTAATTTGGCTAAGGTCTAATTGTGATTTAAATTCTGGAAATTCTACAACCCCCAAGAAATCTTCTATACTAATAACAATCATGTATTCACTAGTTACTAGCTTCGAGATTTAGCTCATGGGGTTCCAGTGAGATGTCGTGACCAGTAGAATTCAATCCGTGTGAGACAGTTATACATCGAAATCAATGTATGCGGGTCGCAAAACATCGTGAACTGATTGAAGTAAGACAATGACGCCTCTAAATGCTGACATAGTGGTCGAGAAGGTACGCATTCATTTTCTAGATTAGATTCCCAGTGAGGAGATCACTGATGTGCACTGCTAATGAGTCGAATACTTTACAGTGGTTTAGCTCAAATAAGTTCATAAATACTTACTTACTTACGCCTGTTACCCCCAATCGAGCATAGGCCGCTCACCAGTTTTCTCCAACCAACTCTGTCCTGTGCTTCCCTTTCCAGTTCTGTCCAATGTTTGTTCATTCCTCTCATATCTTTCTCTATTTCTCGGTGTAATGTGTTCCCTGGCCTTCCTCTTTCCTTTTGCCTTGAGGGTTCCATGTAGGGCTTGTCTTGTGACGCAGTTAGGTGCTTTCCGTAGTGTGTGTCCTATCCACTTCCACCGCTTCTTCTTGATTTCCTCCTCCACTGGAATCTGGTTTGTTCTCTACCATAGTACGTTGTTGCTGATGGTGTCTGGCCAACGAATACGAAGTATTTTGCGTAGACAACTGTTCATAAATACTTGTATATTGTGGATGATGCCTTCCGTAGTTCTCCAAGTTTTCGATCCATACAGCAGAACTGTCTTCACATTTGTATTGAAAATCGTGATTTTGGTTTTGGTTGAAAGTTGTTTGGAGTTCCAGATATTTTTCAACTGTAGAAATGCAGACCTTGCTTTGCAAATCCGTGCCCTCACATCTGCATCGGATCCACCTTGATTGTCAATGATGCTGCAAAGATATGTAAAGGTATTAACGTCCTCCAAAGAATCTCCATCGAGAGTGATTTGGTTGACGCACGTTGTTTTGTATCGTATGATTTCGCTTTTACCTTTATGTATGTTGAGACCTAGTGCTTCAGAGGCTGCTGCTACACTGGTCGTCTTCTCTTGCATTTGTTGTTGCGTGTGCGATATAAGAGCCAGGTCATCTACGAAGTCCAGACTGTCCAGCTGCATCCTAGACACAATGTTCAGTATGAAAGTTTAATTTTCACCGTGGTATCCACTGAATGTATTTACATATATCCGAAAAATATAACTGAAAGAATTGCTCAACTTATGTATTACTGACCATATACAGACAAGGATCACTGAAAGTTTCACCTAATAAACACAGCATACTTTGATTTTTAAACTTTTAAACGAGTAGAATAATGTCTATTGATTATATATCAGTTCAAAAATTTCCCATCGGTATGAACATATATACATTTTCATTCAATTTTATTGGGAAACATATTCTCACATATATATAATAAACAAAGAAGGATGGATTGATATCTTTTCGATTAAATAACAATAAAATTAAGGCATCTTTTTTTTATGAACACTTTAATAATAATAATAATAAATATTAAAACAATAATCAAAATTACCAATATTTCACATCTTATAATTAACTTACTGATAATAGAAACACAGCCAACCAAACAAACAAACAGCAGAACCGATTCATGAAAAGAAACACACTGTAACTTTTCCTTGTGTCTGTGTGTGTATGTGTGTGTTTGCCTCTTGTTTTATGCATCACGTACTACTTACTGTAAGTGTATACTTATGCAAATTTCTTTATTTCTTTACCAATACATCTGTTGGAAAAAAATAGCAGACTGACAGAACTTTTATTTTTGTTGAGATCATTAACAAATGGTAAATTCATTAATATGAAATGTATATTAACAAAAAAGAACGAATCTCATAAACAGAGGGTAATGTGATTTGCATGCTTTTCAATGAAAAGAAAGTTAAAGAGATCTAGTTTTCCATAAGTGGAAAAAGAAGTTCACTGAAAGAGCAATAATAATAATAATAATAATAATAA